GGAATCAAGTCTCCTCCTCCTCCACAGGAAGAGTTGAAGCCCCACCCCCCTGCAGCGAGCGGCTATGCCCCCAAAGCATTTCACGTGGAGGACACGCCTGTGTGCTTCTCCCGGAACTCGTCGCTTAGCTCACTGAGCATCGACTCCGAGGACGACCTCCTGCAGGAGTGCATCAGCTCCGCCATGCCCAAGAAGAAGAAGAAGGCTGCAGCTGCCACTGCCGCTGTCGCAACGCCACTTCCAGTTACTAAAACTGAAGATGGCATTTTGGCTGAGGAGGAGCCGTCAGAGGCCCCAAGAAGCCCCGCCTCCCCTGACTCAGAGTCATTTGATTGGAAGGCGATCCAGGAAGGAGCCAACTCCATCGTCAGCAGCCTGAATGCTGCCGCTGCCGCCGCTTCATCACTGTCCCGCCAACCGTCATCAGACTCTGACTCGGTGCTGTCCCTGAAGTCTGTGGGCTCGCCCTTCCGCCTGCCAGCAACCAATAACAACGCAGAGGAGGAGGTGGAGGAGAAGGAGGAGGTTGCGGTGAAGCGAGGGGCGAGGATCCTGAAGGGCGGAGAACGCAGCACGCTGGAGGCCAAGAAGGAGGAGGAGGAAGAGGCGAAGGCCGTGAGAGGCGGGAAGAAGGTCTACAGGAGTTTGATCACAGGAAAGCCGAGGGCGGAGCCAGCAGCCAGGGGACGGAGTAAACCCAGAGCAGCAGCCGTGGCCAAAGCCCCAGGAAGCAGCGACGGTGCTGACAGAGGAGGCGGGTCCTCTCGGGACTCCACACCATCTCGCTCCTCCACAGCAGCCAGTCAGAAGGGAGGGAGGCTGCTGCAGATGCCACGCACGGCGTCTCCAGGAAGTGCATCTTCATCATCATCATCGGCCTCCAGACCGGCCAAACAGAGTGGGGCAGCGAGGAGCGGCGGGGGCATCCCGAGGAGCGAGTCAGCGTCGAGGGTCAGCGGCTCCACGGTGGCCAAGAAGCAGAAGGCAGAGCCAGAGAAGCCGGCTCTGGTCCGTCAGTCGACCTTCATCAAAGAAGCACCGAGCCCAACGCTAAAGAGGAAGCTGGAGGAGTCTGCGGCGGCGGCAGTGGCAGGTGCAACGGCGTTAGATTCACCGTCTAGCCCTGATACACCACTACCTTCAACAACCAGGAGACACGACATCAACCGCTCACACTCAGAGAGTCCGTCACGCCCACAGGATGTGACATCATCACGCTTCAGCCGCACCGGTACCTGGAAGCGGGAAAACAGCGGTGGGGCAGGAGGAGGGAGCGGCGGTAAACACTCAACATCGTTACCACGTGTGGGGACATGGAAGAGGACAGGAAGCTCATCATCAGTGCTGTCAGCGTCATCTGAGTCTAGCGAGAAGGGGCGGAGCGAAGAGGAGAGCGCCGTGAGGTCGAAGGGAACATGGAGAAAGGCAAAGAGTGGCGGCAGTGACTTATCAGCTGGGCGGAGCTTCGCTGATAAATCAGAAGACGTGTGGGTTCGTCTGGAGGACTGTCCCGTCAACAACCCACGCTCCTCCTCTTCCTGTTCAGCCCGCTCTCCCACAGCTGCCAATGCCCCACCCGTCATTGACAGCCCTGCCCCCTCCAAGATTCCCTCCTCCTCCTCTTCCTCCTCCTCCAACCTCAACCTGCGCCGAAGCTGCGAGAGCCTCGACGACAAGCCGCCGCCTGAACGCCAACAACAACAACAACAACAACAACAACAACACCAACACCAGCAGCAGCAGCGCACTCAGCAGCGCAGCGGTGCTGTGGCGGCAAGAGTCAGCCCCTTCAACTACACGCCTAGCCCGAGGAAGAGCAATGCTGATGCCACCGCCACGCCAACCACCACCACATCATCATCAACGACCCCAACACGACCTTCACTCATTCCCACACCAGTCACCAAAAAACGGGAGCCGAAGGGTGGAGAAGGCGGCGGTGGCGGCAGCAGCAGTGGAGAGCGCGGCTCATACATTGTGACATCAGTGTGAAAAGAACAAGGAAGAAGACTGTTGGACAGAGAAGGTGTAAATATGGAGGAGCGTCCGAGTGTTTGTTTGTGAACTGTACAGGAAATGAGTCTGTATTTAAGCCCCGCCCCCTCACCTCCCTCCTCTCCCCTCATTGGCTCCTCTCACATGTCAGTCAAGGTTCTTTTTTCGAAGAGAGAAAACTTTGAATATCAACTTTTTATGTTTTTATACCACTAAAATAACGTGTAGCGCTTAGCCCCGCCCCCTCTGCCTGTGTCCCTGCATGGCCCCGGCCCCTTAACGATGACAGTTACTATGGTGATATAACGATGAAGATGACAATGATTATGATGTTTCTGCTAGCTGTAGCATCTGAGCTGATTTCATGTTGTTTTGAGTTTGGTTCTGAGAGAAAACACGTTTATTTTTTATGTCTGACGCGTCCGAGGGCGTCGCCATGTACGTTTGTAAGAGCTTCATTACGAACGATTGTGAGAGCGTCACTAGGTGTCGGCATGTACGTTTGTGAGGGCGTTGGCACACACGTTTGTGAGGGCGTTGGCACATTCAACAGAATCCTGATGTATCCAAGGGCGTCAAACCGTCTGACAGACTCCTGGATGTTCCTTGGCTTTGATTGTCCAAAATGTTTTCCACTGTTTTCTACGTGCAGCATTGAGGAGCGTTCATGAGAGTTCAAGAGAGTTAAGGAACATTCAAGAGAGTTCAGCAGTGTTAAGGAGAGCTGAGTAGTGTTCAGCAGCGTTCAGGAGAGCTCAGTAGTGTTCAGCAGCGTTCAGGAGAGTTCAGGAGAGCTTAGTAGCATTCAGGAGAGTTCAGGAGCCTTCAGAAGTGTCAGCAGCGTTTAGGAGCGTTCAGGAGAGTTCAGCAGCGTTCAGGGGCGTTAAGGAGCAGAGAGATCATAGATGTACATTTTGTGTCGGACGATGTAATAACGTGTTTTTCAGAACCTCACTCGTCTCTCACACAGACAGGAAGTTTACTGCTGACCTGTAAACACCTGTGAGGATCACTTCCTGTTGATTTGATAAACTTTCTGCTCGCCTTGGAAACAAATAACACTGTAAAACGTTAAGTTATTGCTGTAAAACTTTTGAAGCACATAATTTAAAATGGCTGTAACATGATTCACTGTTTTTATGTTGATGACGCAGGAAACAAATTTTTGGTCTGACGGTAACGATGAAAAATAAAAGTAAACATTTTAACTGCAGAACTGGACTGGACTCCTCCTGCTTCTTCTTCTTCTCCTTTAGAGACTACTGTGATGATAAAATACAGAAAATCATCTTCAACTGATTTTATTTTTATTTATTCATTTTTTAATATATTTTTATTGCTTTTTGGTTCCAGAGTAAACACACATCAAGCATTTAGCATAGAAAAATATTTCTGAAATATACATAGCATCTCAAACCCCCCTTCCTCACAAAACAAACACTCAGTACGTCACATGAACAGCTCAGCCATGGTTATCATCTAAAGCAGATATAGAAAATAATAATAAAATAAAGCACAGGATTTCAACTGTACATGTACACAATGTAATGTTTTGAATTGTATCAAATTGTGTCTGGAGTTAATTGAACATTTGTGTACACTCCAAGGCATTCCTCCCAGGTCTCCTCACTTATCTCCTCCCCCAGCTCAGTCTCCCAATTTTGCTTATGCACAGCATCAACATATTCTTCAATAGCTTGATAGAAGTAAGAGACTGCCCCCTTTTTACCTGGTTCCACTTTACTGATGCTTTCGAGAAAGTTATCATAGCAGATATTATCAAAGTTAGGTATATTTGTCCTTACAAAATCACAAATTTGCAGATACCTGAAATGGTAAGAGTTTGGGATACTATACACACTCTGTAGTTGCTTGAACGACATAAAGTGCCCATCAAGATATAAGGCACTGATATCTTTAATGCCCTTGAGTTTCCAGTCTGCAAAAACTCTATTACTTAGGCCAGGAAGAAATGCATGATTCTCACATATGGGACTATCGATGTACCTATTTGGTGCTTTTGTGTGTAGCTTAATTTGTTTCCAGATTTTAAGCATATTTTTAATGACAAAACTGTTATTATAGTGCAATTGTCTTATTTTGGTAGGGCTGTTAAGAAGGGCGAGCAGATAAGTTTTATTACAGAGTGTCCGCTCTAATGACAACCAGGCTGGACATTTTATTTTTATTTCATTTTTAATATTTTTTTTATTTTATTTCAGTTTTATTTTATCGTCCGTATGTCCGGCTGAATGTCTCAAAAACAACTTCAGGGAAGTTCTTCAAATTTGGCACAAACGTCCAGTTGGACTGAAAGTCTAAAGGTCAAAGGTCAGTGTGACCTCAGTAAATATGTTGTCCATATGTTGTCCATATGTTAGTCCCCTCAGGGATTAATAAAGTATATAAAATTAAAAAAAAAATAACTAAAGAACAAATGTGTAACAGGATAAAATACTTAAGGTCAAAGGTCAGCGTCACTGTGACATCATCATGTTCAGGTCATATCAGGAACAGAAGATTTGGTCAGACTGATCTGATTGGTCAGATCGTCTGTGTGGGAGGAGTCTCGTCTTTGTTTTCTATGAATTTATTTCAGTCGATTTTGACTCCGAATAAAACATTGTGTTTATACTGACATCACTGGCGCCGTCACTTCCAGACCAGAACAGTCAGGTTTGATTTCACGTCCACAGATGAAAAATCTCGGTGGGGGGTTCAGGTGAAGAAGAGGAGGAAGGATGAAGACAGACAGGAGAGTTCAGAAAGATGAAATATTAAAACTATTACTAAAAACCCTGGAACCCCCCACCACCCCCCACCCCGTTGGTTTTTATTTGTTTGACATTATTTTTTCATCATTTTTATTTTCAGCTGTAAAAGACATAAAAAAAATCATTTCAGATTCTTAGTTCGTGTTGGGGGGGGGGGGGGGGGGGGGGCTCTTATTGTGAAGGTGCAGACAGGAAATGAAGCAGTGACGTCAGTGACTTCTGTCTGCTCCTCCTCCAGCTCAGCTGATGGACACTCAGAAGGTGAGACTGATTGATCATTGATCAATAACTGAAGCTAATCTGCTGCTAACACCGTTAGCATTTAGCTAACTGTCCTGTGAGGGCGAGACACATAGACAACACACGGAGGATAGAGAGAGAGAGAGAGAGAGAGAGAGAGAGAGAGAGAGAGAGAGGATTAGCTGTTAGCTGTCAGGTCGAGTCGTTTTGAATGGACGTCTAATCCTCAGTTACTCTGATACTCAATTACTCTGTGATCTTGAGCGTAACTGTACTGATGTAATCTAGACCACTGAGAATCAGGAGCTTCTGGATGTAATTAGATTACAATCACAGTGTCAGCGAGTGTACTCTTACAGAATAATGATGATGAAGATCTGATGTGCTCAGCACCCTGTATCTTTATTTGTCACTGGAGGTCGTCGACCTCGGTCCTCACTGTCACCATGGTGATTATTCTGCTCCAGTTACTGCGGTCACTGATTCATCCCATCATGCCTCGGTAACATCTCGTTAACCCCTTGGTAACGTCGTCTGACCTGAAGGTCACAGTCAGTGTTCACAGTGGGGTCACATGACACGGAGATTTATCAGCTTCTTTGGGCTTTAATCAGCTGTGATGAAATTGTGACACCCGTGGCGTTTCAGACAAACTGGTGGGCTCTGAATTAACTGGAGACATACAAGTGGTAGGTGTTGCCTCTTTGGCCTCTATCTTTGTGATGACGTCAGCGGTCTTCACAGTTCATCATCATTGTTTCTGCTGAACAGCTGCGTCTGTTTAAAATCCTTGCGTCAACTGTCAGATTTGCCATGTGACAGAGATCCACCAGCCGCCTTCAAACCTGCTGTGAATCATGAGATGACCTCTAACCCTGAAACACAACCGGTGTCTCTCAGTGGTAACAATAGGCTAATGGTAAGCTAACAGTATTCTAACAGTAAGCTAACAGTAACGCAAGGATAACTGTACACTAACAGTAGGGTAGCGGTACGCCGACAGTAGGGTAGCAGTACGTTTACAGTGGGGTAAAAATACGCTAATGGTAGGCTAAGGGCCTGTCCCAATACCCCCCCTTAGCCCTACCCCTACATTTGCATGTTCCCTCGAGGGGTAGTGGTGTCCCAATTCCTTTTTGCATGTAGGGGTAGGGGTCATAACGAGGGGTAGTGGGTATGAAACTAGCCCTTCGTAGCGAGGGATTTCAGAGGCTGACTTACCAGCAAGAGATAGACGTCGCCATGGCTATCACCAAGCAAGAGATGGGGAAAAAAGTTCATACATGGCTAACGTTACCGTCGTCAGGTTGCTTGTTAGCTAGCTAGCTAGCTAGCTCGCACTATCTGGCGTCTGTCATCTGTCCTGTTCTGCAAAATTATCGGATTTTTCACATTAGGATAACACGCCAGCTAGTATAACTATGCTGCCTCGTAATGTTACCTGGTTAGCTAGCTATCTAGCTAGCAGAAGTCCCCTGTCGTCTGTTGTTCATCAAAGCCTGATGAATAATGCAAATGTGATCGGTAAGATGAACTCAACTGGAGACTCAATTGTAGATGCTGGTTGGAAATGTAGATGACTTGCAGCTTAATGTTTAGAATATTTAAGTATGCGTGAACGTAACTGACGCAGTGATGTAGTGAGTGGTGTCCCAATTACTAGGGAAAGATTTCAACCCCTAACCCTCGTTGCTTCATTTCGAGGGCCAAGGGGTAGTGGGCAAGGGGGGGTATTGGGATTGGGCCTAAGAGTAGGATAACAGTACGCTAATGGTAGGGTAACAGTAGTTTAGGTCAGCTAACAGTAGGTAACAGTACGCTAACAGTAGACTAACAGTAGGTTAGGTCAGCTAACAGTAGGATTACAGTACGCCAACGGTAAGGTAACAGTAGGGTAATGGTATGCTAACGGTAAGATAACAATTAGGGATGGGCAACACAAGCAAAAACACAATTTGAAAATCGTGGCAAGTATTCGACAATTTTTTGAATAAGCCCATTAAATACATCACGACTGGAGGACAGAGAACTCTTTTCTCTAGTACTGAAGATGAGAGAAATTGAATTGTTATTTCTTCATGTCTCACTAGAGCTACGTATCGGGTAGTAACAGCAAAACTGCCCCCATGGTTCCCGGTGGTACTACTCCGTTTGGCCCGTATCCGTAAGCTTTATGGAAACGTGCAGAAATACGGAGGAAATGAACGCAGAGCACGGAGAGAAGGCTCCGTCCATATCCGGATCCATATTTAACGTTGAGCAACGCTAACGTACGTACACTAATGGTAGGGTAACTGTAGGTGCCCAACCAGCACCTCCTCGCCCCCTCTTCCCACCAACCACCTTAATTGTGGGGGACTCCATCATCAGGCAAGTCCGCTTCCTCAAGACAGTCACTTGCTGCCTCCCCGGATCTACTGTGCCTGTCATCTTAAATGAACTCCCGGAGCTTTTGCGCTCCCTGCCCTCCACAGTCACTAAAATTATTGTCCATGTAGGATGCGCCACAGGTAAATCAGTGTTCATATCTGGCCCGATTCCAACACTGGCTCTTGGAGATGAGCGGTTCAACCGAATCCGCAGCCTCCATACCTGGCTGTATTCCACCTGCAGAGACTTTGACTTTGTCTATATTGACAATTTTAACCTATTCTGGAATCGCTATTCATTCTACAAGCTGGACAGAGTACACCCAAACCAACTGGGCAGTAGGATGCTAGCTGCTAATTTGCATCATGCTGTACAGCATGCTGTACAAACTGCCACACGCGCTGCACGTGACTGACTGTTGTTTACATCACACACCCCCTTCCAGACTTCTTCCTCCCCGCCACCTGTGGCAACTCAAACTCCTCTTTCACTCACCACTGCCCCCCCCATGGGCCCCTAATGCCAATTTGTTGTTTATTTCAACCAACTCCACCCCTAATTCTAACCCCCTCAGCACATCAAGACAAATTGGCCTCTTGAATGCATGGTCACTTTCTTACAAGTCTTTTAGATCCTGCCAAATGCGCAGGAGATCTGACCCTCGCTACCTAGTGAAAATTAAAACTCAATCAATCCCTGTCTGCCCATAACCAAAACCTGAACTAATAAAGTTAGCACTTCTGAATATCAGATCCCTCTCTGATAAGAGCTTTTATATTAATGATTTTATTTCCCAACATAGTCTCAGTTTTTTTATTCTTAACTGAATGCTGGCTCTCTTCAGCTGCTTCTGCCATATTATTGGAATCATCTCCCCCAAATTATGGCTTTCTATACTCGAGTCGTCAAGATAAAAGAGGAGGAGGAGTGGCCAGTATCTTCTCTAACAATTTCACCTGCTCAAGAAGTAACTTTGGTTAATTTTCAAGTTTTGAACACTTAGCCTCGGTTATTAAGACTCAGCAGTCTATACTAACTATAACAATTTATCGACCTCCTAAATACAACTCCAACTTCTTATCTGAGTTTTCTGATTTCATGTCTATTGCTCTCACCAGTTATCAGGGCTGTTTCAAGACCCTCTGGGGGCCCTAGGCAAGAGGCACCTTGGGCCCCCCCCCCTCTGCCCCGCCAGCACCCGTCTCCGACACTGAGAAGACATGAAGCACTCATAACAAATCCTTTATTTATAGAAAAATGTAAAAACAAAGCAAAATTGCTTTACATTATTTAAATAACAAAACGACACACGCTTCCTTTCAAAGAAAACAATAACAACAAAATACAAAAATAAATACAATAACTCATTGTGTAAGACAAATATTTGTGTAGTCATTTTAAATTAAATAATCTCATGACAGATTTAAACTGGAGAGCAGATCCCTCTGAGGCTCAATTATGTTTGGGGAGTTTGTTGTAATATTTTCATGCAAGTACAGAACTGTGTGTATGTGCTTCACAAACACTCAACATTTAAGATCTGTACGAAATAATTAATGAACAACAGTAACAACTTCAATGCTTCATGTTAACATAATATCTTCCTCTTCTAAATACAAATTAGTTACAGTTTGGACAGAATAAGATGTTCTACTGACAGCAGAATTGATGTTGGTTTCATTAATGTTAGCATTTGACAACAAATGCATTACTAATGGGAGAAATTAACATTGTCGTTGGCACTAACTTATTGCAGGTACAGTGATCTGTGTACACAACCATGGCAACACAGCTAATGTCATATAATACATCTCTTCTGTTCAAACAAACACACAGATATGTCTCAAGAGTTTAGAAGCTTCAAGCTGGTTCACTCACTGTCTAACTAATGTTAGCTAGCTGTTGTTGTTGTTGTCGTCATGTTGTGCATTGAACATTAAACTTTTCTGATGCTTGGTGGGACTGGGACAAAGTGGCATGTGGCAATAACTATTTGTAACACACTCTCACTTACCACTGTCTCGTTTTTTCTTTTCATCCTCCTCTTGCTTTTTTTTCTTTTAGCGTATCCTGAGGGATACGTTCGCTTCATTTTGCCGCAGCCGCACAGCACCAGCAGTGGCAAGTCAGCTCAGTCAGCTGTAGGGGCCCCATTAGGGGGGTCTCCGACGTGTTGTCGTTGCAGTGTCTCTAAGGGGTTTCAAATTGTGTCGTTGATTACAGACCAAATGTCAGCAGTCCCTGGAGGACCCCTCTAGCGACTCACAAGCAGCAGCAAGTGGGGGGGGGGCCCGTTAGGGGGGATTCCGACGTGTTGTTGTTGCTGCAGTGTCTATAGCGGTTCCATTCATATTGTCATTGATATGGACCAATGTCAACCGTCTCTGGGGGTCCCCTTCCAGCTCGGGGCCCTAGGCAGTTGCCTAGTTTGCCTGTCCGGTTGCGACGGCCCTGCCAGTTATGACAGTATTATTTTACTTGGGGATTTTAACTGTCATATTTATAATACCACTGATTTATATGCCATGGAATTTTTAGATCTTCTGGCTAGCTTTGGTCTGGTGCAGCATGTCAAGGGGCTACCCACAATCATGGAAATACACTAGACTTGGTCCTCACAAAAGGTATCGAAATAGATATTTCTGATATCA